ACTTGCGGTAATCAAAGTCGAACGCAATTTCGACGTGTCACCAAGTATATGATTTGAGCATGAATTATGTTGAACCAGATGCTCATTATTAAATCTTTTCTAATCTTCTTTGTTTAGTAGAACCAATTATCAATGTTAGTGTAGCAAGAATTCTGCAATCATTGATTTTGAAATAGTATTTTTTGAAGAACGTGATTTTAAAAAGTAAGGCGAATTTTTGAATTTATTTTTAATATTATTTTAGTGAGAGAGAGAAGTTCATAAGAAGAGAGCTAAAATTTAACTGGGCCAGCCAAAAAAAAAGGGACCTTTGATGCAAACATTGCCACGACTTTTGAACGCAACATAAGGCTACTTCAACCACAACTTTTGAACGCAAATAAAGCTACTTCAACCGTACTTAAACGATCAACATCAAAAAAGGACACCATAAATTTATGTTTTACAACTGACAGAGCTTATGTCTTAAAATTATGCTTCTTTTACATTATGTTTGAAGCATCTTTGACATTCCCTAATGTATAAGAAATTTGGTCACCTGATCGGAAAAAGTATTGTGATGTCAAATTTTATGTAAAACATGATGTACATATAGCCTGATTGCCGTCTTAATTGGTAGAAGGCTAGCTGCCCAAATGTTTTCATCATCCTATATTAACAATGGTAATAGTATCTTATGACATGTTTAGTAGACATTTGAAAAATCAAAAGTCGCTTTTAAACATATTTATAAAATTTTGTGAAAGTATTTTATCTAACTAAAAGAGTTTATAAAGGAAATTGAATTTATTAGAAAAATCTCCTATAAAAGATATAAGCAAAAGCAAAAATAGAAATACTACCACACGAGCCCTTACTAGTAACACGTTCCATATTCTAGATATATAAGATTAAGGTCCAGTTTGGTGGGGATTAAAATCATATTTTTAGCAAATTTTGAAAAAAATTGTTAAAATATGTAATTGAAATGTTGTAGATCCAATGAAATATGTGATTAAAATTAAGCTCATGTTTGTCTCTCATTCTTTTAAAACTCTTTTTTCTATATGCTCATTTTCAACCACATTCACACAGTAAAATATTTTATACTTAAACCCTAATTTTTTCTCTAATTTTTAACAATACATTTTCCAAAAAAAAATCGCTATTTAAAACAATTTTTTTCCAAAAAAAAATAGCCACAAAAAATGGGCCAATTGTTGATTTTGACAAAAAATTGGATTTTAATCCCTACCAAACAATTATTAAAAAGGACCATTCACAAACATATTTACATTAAGTACTTGATAGAACTTAACAATAGAATCCGTCTATTAAAACCACATGAAAAGATATTAATATCTTTAGTACGTAGAATCGAACGATACAATAGCATTAATGCTGTCCAGTACTTTACTATCTACAAACAAAAATAATCAAAATAAAACATATCAGCTGTGGCCGTGATGGGTTGTTGGCAAAAGTACATTAAACTTTCAGGACAGCCTTGGAAATCCTCAAACATGGGATTGTTGTTGGCTTTGAAGTAATTAAGGACGTCATTTAGGGACTGCAGTGTTTGGCTGAGTTCCATAACTTGAGCCTTGAGGACTAAATTTTCAGCCTCCATTTTCATATAATCCTGTGTTGTGAGGTTTAAGCTTGTTAAGAAGTGGCTGTTTTTGTACCTCAGTTGAACAATTTGGGCTGTCAGATCATCCAAATGCTTCTGTTTTTTCATCCTTGATCGCCTTGCTGATTCCCTATTTGATTCCATTCTCTTCCTTTTCCTTTGATCAATCAAATCCTGCAAGGTTTCTTCAGATCCAGACGAATTTCCACTAGAAGAAGCCATTTTTTCATTTACACGAAATCGTGCAGATTACAAACAACAATAAAATCAGAAAAAAGCAAAAAACCGATATGTGAGAGTTACGTCCACTTTGTGACTGCATATACGTTTTCAAGTTTAAATGGTCTCGCGCTTCTCACAGACGCTAAACCGACCCCGAAAAAAATATTAGGTCAATCTGTGGTCGAGATGAGAAGTCCACACTATGATTAAGCTCGAGACAGTACAATAAATAACATAAATTCTTGAAGAACGAAAACTTAAAAATTGCAGGACCTGGTGCTACTATGCTAAAGATTACAAGTGTTCAACATAAAAAGGTTACTTATGAAAACACATAGAACCAGTAGAGGAAGATAACAGAGAAAGATTGAACAAGAAGAGTCCTGCGTGTGAGAAAAGAATTTATCATAAACCCTAAACGAATGATTCCACTAAGTACATGAGACATAACATCAAGAACAAAATATGCAGGATCAGATTTTTAGAGCATTTTGAATTTTTTTTTTATAGAGAAACGGATAGAATTATGATGATTTAACAAATGGGTTTTTGAATCATCAAATGCCCAGTTCCAAATTAGCAGAATCTACTTAAAGAAATGAGAAATCTGAAGGAAAAGAAAAGAGAGGAAAACTCAGAATGTATAGAGACGAAAGGGGTGGAGTAGAGGAAGAGGTTTATGAGGTTGTGGGGAGGCTGATTTATAGAAGGAAAAGGTGGGCAAGAAAATCAAGAAATGGAAGAAATGATTTTATGTTCCAACTTTTATAAGAGTGAAGCTCGTTGTCAATCTTTCATTATATTAAAATTTCGATAAATGAGCTTCTCTAGGGAATATTGGAGGTTCGAATTCATTGACAGCTGAAAGGCAGATGTCTTGTGGTGGCAAAGATGGATGCACGTTGTCACCTCTTCGAAAGTCATGTCTGCATGTTGTAAAGGGAGGTCCACATGAAGGAAAACCATTTCTCGAAAGTCTAATCTAAGTGTATATAAACTGTATCCACATTCGAATTTACCCGGGCGATGAACCAAGGGGCCATCACTCCTTAGAATTAGTCGGAAGAAGCTCTAACACCTGAATCCCCAAAAAAAATTCAATAAATGAACGTTGAATAAATTCTATTTTTGTAAAATTATTAATTTATTTTCAACTCGAGTAACATTGTACTAAATTTTAATAACCAACATAAATTCATAATATAATAATTTTGTTTAAAATCCTTGCAGCCCTAGAAATTCTTACAATTGTATCCCTAATCTTTTTCCATATATATAAAACTTTGGTTCTCATTATAAGACATAAAAGTCTATTGGCTTTTACTCACTCTTTTCTTTTTTTTTCTCTCTTTTCACAACAAGTTATGAGCATGAAAACCTAATTCTTCTCTCCTCTTTTTTTTTTTTTTCTCTTTTCACAATAGAATGAACTCTTTTAAGTTTTCATTATTAAAAATCGCATATTATTTTTTATTCATAAATCAGGTACTTTTGTTTTAAAAATATTTTTAATATATGTCATATTTTGTTCATAATCCCATTAATTATGGTAATATATATTTGATTTTTGAAATTCAAATTACACAAAAATGATTTATTTTTTTAATTTCAATATTGTTTGGAGAAAGAAACACTTATTCTTTTTTCACCGTCATTACCAGAGGTCACACGCTTAAATTACAGATGCTACAATTGTTTTAATTTATTTGTAAGCCACATATTATCAAGCCACAATTTTGTATGTGACATTAATACGAAGGACACAATTTCGCATACCTTTATGAATTTCAAATGCTTCCCTATTATAACAAACAAAATAATGGTCGTAATCAAAAAATAAATATAGAAAATTATGAATCCGTATTACCGTAATTTATTCTTTCCTTATTCTCCTAAAAGTTAAAATTTGTAAGACAATAACTGCATGCTTTTAGGGAAGGAATATGATGAGAGGGAGAAAAATCAAATAGCATGAAAAGGTCACATTTTTATTTTATATAAATCGATTATTAATTTTATATTATCCATTAAATAAAATCGAATCCAAGTTTATTATCTCAAAGTTGTAAAATAATGAGATAATTATAGGTGATTATTTAGTGTTATCATAATTCATAGATAAGTCTTACCTAGTGTAGAAAGTTTATTTCATTCCATTTGTAACTCTCATTTTAAATTCTATAAATACAGTTCACGTTTCTCAATACAAGACACTTGAATTTTAACTCCTATATTTTCTCATCTTCTTGTTCTATTATTTTTTCATAATACGGTATCAGTACGATTCTCTAAAAATACAGTAAATTAGTTTGAAGGTAGACATATTCAATCTCAAATCATACGCATTTTTTTCATTGTCGCATACACGCATAATTAATTTTTTTAACACGACATATATGCATAATCTTAAAATTTTATAAATATTTGCACTCAATTTCCTTGATATCTAATTAATGCTCCAATTAGTTTCACCCAACTTTTATAAATACACGCAATTGGTTTCTACCCAATTTTTCTTTACGTCCAAATTTTTTGAATCCAATCACCCCTTTTAATCGTGTTATTAAAGAAGTATACTCAAAATCCAATAATTTATTGTGCATATCCTTCAATTTGATTACGTACTGCAAATGATTACGTGTGTATCTTTTAATTTTTTATTTTTTATTACGAAATAGCGCGGCTACGTGAATACATTTTCCGTTGAATCATTATGCGGGTTTCTTGATTTATTTTTATTTATGTTTACAAAATATATGTATTTAAGAGGATTATTGAATATTTTTATATCTTTAGCCTTATTAAATATTTGCAAATGTTCTTCTATAAACCTTATATTAATAATTTATTACATTGTTGCTCATAATATAACACAATATTATAATTAATGTTCCAGAAGTTTGTTGTTGCTCATGAAGTAGCATAAAATTATAATCAATATTTCAAAAGAATATTACTTGCTCGTGAAGAGAATTAATTATATTTTTCAATATTCCAGAATAATATTGACGTGTTGCTCTTAGGGCATGTTTGATTGCTCTTTCTTTTCCATGAAAGTTGGAAATTAAAATTAATTTCCACATTTTTGCATGTTTGATTGACTAAATTTTTCACGGAATTGGTTTTTCACATTTTCTTGAATTTTGAGGAAATCTCATGGATTTGGTGGGAAAAGCTTTTTAGGCAACTTTTTATTTTATTTTATTTTAAATTTTTTTTGGCAATAGAAACAAATTATATCCCTTTAATGAACAAATTTCATAAAAAATAATCCAAA